GTGAGCCACCAGTGCTTGACAAGGTGGAATGATTTTTTTTTTCCCATCCTGGGTCTTGAACTCAGGGCCTGGGTGCTGTCCCTGAGCCTCTATGTGTGCAAGGTAATGTGTCTTATATCTAGTCTTCTGTTTTACTCAAAGGAGCGGACAAATGAAATTGCCAATGTGGAGACCATCAACAATGGGAAGTCCATCTTCGAAGCCCGCTTAGACATTGAAAATTGCTGGCAGACCCTGGAATATTTTGCAGGCTTGGCTGGATCCATGGCTGGTAAGCCTTTTCCTTTCTCTGCTCACAAGATCTAGAGGAGCAGAGCCTAGTGATGAAGAGAAAACATCTTTGAGTTAACACAGGCCTGGTTTAAATTTTGGGGTCACTGCTTTCTATTTGAGTGCACAGGATTTACTTTATCCTGTCTTCTCTAAGCTGGAGATAACGCCCTGTACCTCTTGGATTGTTTTAAAGATTAAATAAGCTACTACATGTAAATCACCCAGCATGTACATGTTCTGGCAGGAGCACATCATGTGTGTTTGTTTGATGGATTTAGCAAAAGACTAACAACTTAGAAAGCCTGTAGCAGTTCATATTTGATGGTTAGTAGGACTCAGCTGGGCCAAAAATCCAAGGTTTTATAGTCCCCACACTTCTTTGCTACTGAGTCTTCCCCTCATTTTTATTTCATTTGAGTTATCCAAAAGAGGCTCTGGAAACTTTTTTTGGGGAATTGAGCAAGGTACCAGTGGTTTATGCCTAGCTACTAAACAGGCTGAGATCTGAGGATTGCAATTTGAAGCCAACTTTGACAGAAAAGTTTGAGACTCTTATCTCTAATTAACCAACAAAAAGCTGGAAGTGGAGCTATAGATCAAGTGGTAGACATCCAGCCTTGAGCAAAAAGTAAGGGACACTACTCAAGCCCTGAGTTCAAGTCCTAGTACCTGGAGGAAAAAATATTAATTTAAGTAGGATGAAAATGTGCTGATAAAAATCTTGGGGAAGCATGGATCTCTGTTCTTTTTGTTGTTGCTGTTGTATAAATATTTATTTATTTTTTGAGACAGGATTTTTGGTAGCTCAGGATGCCCCCTGGAGTTGAGATTCTTGCAAATCTACCTTAGTGCTGGGATTACAGGCATGCACTACCATCCTTCAGCAAACTATATCCTACTTTCTCCTTTGTTTTCCCCTTAGGTGAACACATTCAGCTCCAAGGTGGATCCTTTGGTTATACCAGAAGAGAACCACTGGGGGTCTGTGTGGGGATAGGAGCATGGAACTACCCCTTCCAGATTGCCTGTTGGAAGTCAGCTCCAGCTTTGGCCTGCGGTAAGAATGAATTACTCTGCACTGTGAGCTGCTGATCTCTCCTATTCTCTGTTCTTCACCTCTCTATAAACACACACTTGGAATCAGAAAGGGCTTGTTTGGGATATTCACACCTCAGAGGAAGGAGGTCCATTCCTGCCCAGCTTGTCCCTCATATTACTTAAGTTATACACACTAGTCATGTCTATATATTCCTTAAAAAAATTATGCTTAGGGCTGGGAATGTGGCTTAGTGGTAGAGTGCTTGCCTAGCATGCATGAAGCCCTGGGTTGGATTCCTCAATACCACATAAACAGAAAAAGCCAGAATGGAGCTGTGTCTCAAGTGGTAGAGTGCTAGCCCTGAGCAAAAAGAAGCTCAGGGACAGTGTTCAAGCCCCAGGACTGGCAGAAAAAAAAAAATTATGTCTACCATTTGTTTGTTTAGTTTTGGGCAGTAGTGCTGATTGAACTTGGCAGGTCACCGTGCTTGCTAGGGAGGTCCTCTACCTCTTGAACCTCTCTCTCTACTTTAGTATGAGGAGAGGAGGTAACTTTTTTCCCTGCTAAATTGCATTAGAACTTGGCTTTCCTGGACAAGAATTTCCAGAAGTAGAAGATAAGCTATCACCTTCATTGGTGTCCTAAGAGAAATGATAAAGCTTCCATCAGAGCAGCTCTGCTGGTTGAAAAACAGAGACTGCTGGGAGCAAGACAGTGTATTTTTAAAGGATTTTGAGGGAACACTGTAGTTAGGACACTGAAATGTGGTTCTGTCCTTTTGTTTTTGCACTTTTTTTTTGTGTCTGAGGGGCAAGGTATAAAGGAGGAATAGGTTCAGAGGTAAGCCACTAGCTTTTGGGACCTTTCAGGTATTTGGTTTTAACTGATCTGTAATGGGACTGATTGTACCTCAAAATGCTGATGTAAGCTTTAAATGAGGTGATTTATGTACAATGGCCTTGCTATGCTATTTGAGACTGAGCAAGTATATCGTGTGAGCTGCCTTTAATGAGAGAAAGCAAGATAGGAAGGACAAGATTGTCTGTTGAGAACATTTTGGGTGTGGAATTTGATGGGAGGATGGGAAACAGTTGGAAGTGTCTGGGCTTGTTCTTAAAGGATCACGACTTTTGAGTGTGTGTGCCTTGCATTTATGCAGGAAATGCCATGGTCTTTAAACCTTCTCCCTTCACGCCTGTTTCTGTTTTGCTCCTGGCTGAAATCTATACCGAGGCTGGTGTGCCTCCTGGGCTCTTCAATGTGGTGCAGGGAGGTGCTGCCACCGGCCAGTTTCTCTGTCAGCATCGCGATGTGGCCAAGGTTTCCTTCACCGGAAGTGTGCCTACTGGAGTGAAGGTAC